TGAGATAAGATTTAGAGGAGTAACTGAATATGAAGTTGGAAGTTTGCAGTTCTGAGATATAGATGTGTAAGTGCATTGCTTATGCATTTGTGTAGTTAAATGGAAACTCACTATTTCCTCTGATCTCCCAGTGTATTTTTATGGTGATTTTATGTTTTTGTTGATCTTTGGTGGGGCTTTCTTTGTGGGTTTCATGAAATTTGTGGATTCAGTGGGTTTGATTTTCCCCCCCCCCCCCCCCCCCCCCCCCCGTTCTTGGAGGATTGCTTTTCCAGTTTTCCTGGTTTTAAAGCTTAAAAACTGAAAGAAATTTAACCTTTAAAATTCTCATAGGAAAATGTTAGAACTTCAGTTCAAAAAAACCCCTTACTATATTAAAAACAGGAATTCAGTTGTGACTTGCCCCAGTTACATTTTTTAAGTTAATCTCTTTAAATGCTTGGTTTCTCTGGACTGTTCCTTCCAGTTTGTGTCTTTCTCAAACAGAAAATAGAAACATCTTTAACATATAGTATCTAAAATGTTTCCTGTTTGTAGTATGAGAATTCTGAAATATATTGTAGCCAGTGTTTTTTATACATATGTGTATATATATTCAGACATAGTCTTCAGATTCTTTTAGACACCAAGACATTTATGCAAAAATATTTGCTTTTTAGATCTCCTTTCTTAAAACTGGATGAGTAACACTAAAAAAAAAAAAAATAATCAGTTGATGCCATGGTATTCACAGAAGCAGATAACTCATAAGTTTCAGTAATTGTGAATTCAGTGGTAGTTTTACTGTCATAATTTTCCATTATATTGGTGCAAGAGAATGACAGTCGCCTCTTTGTGTTTGTAGGTGACATACTTCAAATTTAAGCTACATGAGAAGAAAGAAGTTAGGCTAGGTTGTATTTATTCAGTTACATGTTTATATCTATTTCACCTGTCCACTGTATTATACTGCATTTAATTGGTGGGTTTTTTTGTGTATATGTATTGATTCTGATCGTTTTGGCCATGTGCTGGAAGAACTACATGTCATGGATTCCTTCTTTTATTTTGGATTTAGATTATGCTAGCTATTCACTTGAGTAAATTTTTAACATTCTAAAAACATAGTCACACTGTAACCTATAAAATTGCATTCAGGAAGATTACCTTATAAAAGGTGTATAATATTTGATCTGTGGTCAGTGCATAGAATGCGATGAAGTACTGGTTTTAGTACATCAGCATTGTTTTTGTGAGTTTAGAAATATATAGGGGAATCTCCTTCTCTTCCTATGAACAAACCAGCCAAAGGATGCTAAAAGTAAAAAGAAAGGAAAATTTAGCTGTTATCTAATATACCATAGATTATAGTTACTTTGTTTTCTTTAAGGGGATTAATGTTACTTTTGTCATTGGTCAAACATTGACGGAAGATACTTGTTTTTTCACACTATTACTTAGTAGCAGTCTAATTTTGGAGTCAGTGAAAAATAATTTTGTTTCTTAGCTAGTTCTTTCCTCTAAGAATGACTGCACCTTCTTATATGATTTTTCTAATTCTTTAGCCTAATCTAAAGTAGTGGCATTTAAATAGTGACCCCTGACCTGAGTCTAGAGTTTAGGGTGCTATAACCCAGTCCATGGAAGAGATGACTTAAGAGTCACTTTTCACTGCCAACAGCAGCCCCCTTTTCCAGATTCCCTCTTGTTCTTTCTAGCCAGGCATTAGTATTTATGGCCTACATCTTTCTTTAAATCTTATTTATATAATTTTCTTTAAAAGTAAATAAACTAATAAATAAATAAATAATATATAAAGTCTTTGGGTAATTTGTGGATTAAAATAATTGATTTCCTGAGCTTCCATCTTTGGAAGACCTAATGCTAGCAGGCAAGAAGACAAAAGTGAGAGGCTATCTTCCCCTTTCATCACCAGCAGTGATTTATTTATGTTTATACTGGGTCTGGATGGGTTAATTCTCTTCAGAGTGGCCTTTTATGTGGCCGTGTTTTGGATTTGTTACTAAAAGGGTTGATAATACACTGGTGGTTTTGCTGTTGCTGAGCAGCAGTTGCAGAGGTTAAGGCTTTCTCTTTTTTTCCCGGTGTTGGACCCCCTGGTGAGCAGGCAGAGGTGGGCAATGTGTTGGGGGGGCATGGCTGGGACAGCTGACCCAGACTGGCTGAGGGATATTCCATGCCACGCAGCATCATGCTCAGCAGTAGCAGACTGAAGGGGCAGGGAGGGTGTTGGTCCGGAAGGCAGCTATTGCTCAGAGATGGGCTGGACAGTGATCTGCTGTGGGAGGTAGTGAGTGCTAAAAGACACCACTTGGTATTTTTAACTCTCTTCCTTGTTTATTAAACTGTCTTTATCTGGACCCGTGTGTTTCCTTGCTTTTCCTGTTCTGTCCCATGTCTCTCACCACCACTGGGAGGGAGGTGGTGGTGAAGGGGGGAAGGGGCTGTCAGGTACTTAGTTGCTGTCTGTGGTGAACTCCCCACCCCCCCCACCCCCCAAGTTCTTAATTGCTCAAACATTTCACTCTGTGTATTTGCAATGATATGGCTCTGAATATGGTCCCAGAAGAAACTGCTTATCATTTGTAGCTTTGACATTATTTTAGCATTATTTTTGGTATTTCACCTCTCCTAAGCTGTATCTTGAAAAGGAATCTGGTTTACCTGCTGAACGAGGGGAACATAATTGATCAGGAGAGCTAGGAGTGAATTCAGATGGACAAATAGTGCTTAAAAGAGTTGAGTTGATCTTTCAGTTTTAACTTTCAGTGACATGGTCTTTTGGGGAAATTTCTTAATTAATCCCCCTTAAGTGAGGATTACGTTGCACTTAAGCTGTTTGCTGACTATGCTTCACTGCCAACACCTGGTGGTACATAAGCCAGATGGGTGAGTTGATCAGCTGAAAGCTTCACAGCCTCTTCTAACTTCACTTCAGTTAGTATTTTTTTGGGAAGCTGTGGAGTTTTCAGTTGGAGTAGTTCCACAACTAGTTTATCATATGTTGTGTGAATCATAGAATCATTTAGGTTGGAAAAGATCTTCAAGATCATGGAGTCCAACTGTTAACCTAACACTGCCAAGTCAACAACTAAACCATGTCCCTAAGTGCCACATCTACACATGTTTTAAATACCTCCAGGGATGGTGACTCAGCTGCTTTACTGGGCAGCCTGTTCCAATGCTCAAACCTTTTTGGTGAAGAAATTTTTCCTAATATCCAATCGAAACCTCCCCTGGCACAACTTGAGGCCATTTCCTCTTGGTATTTGGGAGAAAGGAAGTGGTAGCAGAAGGAAGCCAGGAAAAAGGCAGAAAAATGATTCCCTTTAATCTGGGCTGTGGATGAGAACAGCAGTTTAATATCCTGGTCTGGAATGGTGGAATTCTAAGCTACTTATGCTAGTGGAAGAAACATCCTTTTGCATGTTAGGTTTATCAGTAAACTGTGAGCAACAGGCTTACAACTATCTGTAGCTTCAGAAGGGGGGTTTAGGAACTTTGGAATTGGTCTATCCATTAAGCCTGAAATGACACGTGAGAGTCCCTTCCTTGTCCCAGTGCTTTAGTTGTGTGAGCTCCTGATGCTTTGTGCCAGTTCAGATACAGCTAAGAACTGAGCTGATGCAGATTCAGTAGAAATGAATGTTTTCTGATGTTTTATCACAAAATCACCAGCTATCCATGCAAAAAAGCTACAGGAATGTATGACTAAGGATTTGGAGAATAGGGGAATACTATGGTGTGGCAGTACTGTTCTTTTCAGTATGGCTGTGATGGCTTGCCACTCCGTTATCCCTGACATTTTGTAAAATACTACTTTTAATCAGTCTGCTATTTCCTGGGGGTGTATGATGGCTGAGATGATCTGAAGAAGAGTATTTGGTTCTGCATTTCTGGAATGCATCTGGTTGCATCAGTCTAGCTTCTCAGAAGGTCATGGTATTGTTCCGTGTTGTATGATTTAGTCCTATTTTCAGTAACTTTTGCTAATTCTCTGAACTGCCATACTTACTAAGAATTTTAATGGTCTGTTTGGGTGAGGACCATAGCTTCATTAACTGTTCTCCTTGCACCTTTTTTTCTTTCCTTGTTTTTGATGGAGAATGTCTAGAGGTGCAGTGCAAGAGCCATACTTAGTTTGTGCAATAATCCATCTGCTCTCCCCTCTGTTCTGATCTGGTCATATTTCATGTAATAATACCACTGGCTTTCAGCCCGTTAAATAGGAGATCAGAAGTTTAAGGATAAGTGATCCTCATCAATATCATGCTTAAGTACTTTGGTGATGTAACATGACAGATTAAATTATTGAAAAAACCTTATAACAATATGTGTTTCTATTTAAGTTCAAAATAAAAGATTTTTCATGAGAGATGGATGCTACAGTCTTTAAAGTTTCAAAGAAGCACAAGACATGTTAGCACAGCACAGCAAAAATGAAGGAATAACTGTCATTTTCTCTCTTCCTGTACTAACTTTATGAGCCTTGTCTTCACTGTGATAATTAGCTCCAGTTAATGTGCTCACGCAGAGGCCATACTGGAGATGATGATTAGCAGAGGAAATGTTTAGAGTTTAATTAGTTGCAACTCAGTGTTCTGCCTAACTGTTACAGGAAAAAGGTAAAAATTCAGTTACACTTGAGTAATCCAGGTAAGAATCCTTATATACTAGTTATTGAGCAGAACATACATTAATAGCTTTTCACAGTTACTATTTTGGAATGTTATTTTCTTGAAGGGCAATAAATAGTTACTCAATCTTATCTTCAGACTTTAAAAGAAATAAAATACAAGTTGTCATGTATCTCTAATAAGAACTTTTGTCTTTGGTGATGAGTTCATGGTATTGGCTTCAGCATAATCTTAAGTATACTGAAGACTGCAGGACTAACGTAAATCAGCAAACATAAGCATAGAGATTAAAGTGTTTATTGAATGTAGACTTTGAGTAGTAGTGGACTTGGTATAACTTTTGCTGTCATATTCTACTTGTAGGTAAAAAGAACATACTCTCATGGTACGTATAGAGCTGGCCCAATGAGACAGATCAGCCTGGTTGGAGCAGTTGATGAGGAAGTGGGGGATTACTTCCCTGAATTCCTTGATATGTTGGAAGAATCACCCTTCTTAAAAGTAAGGACAGAAGGGAATGGGTTGGGAGAAGGGGGACAATACACTGTCTAGTACTGTTATAATAAAGTGAGAGTATGTGATACTTGCTTAGATAATTGAGTGGTCTAATAAACGTTTTCATCGAGACAGATAAAGGCTGCTTTAGAAAAGTTTTTAAAGTAACTCACTTCAAAATTGTGGCTTGTATTTCCCATTAGTGTACACTGCCATGGGGAACACTTTCTAGTTTAAAATTAGAGAGTCGTAAAGACAGTGATGATGGTCCCATTATGTGGGTACGTCCAGGAGAACAGATGATCCCTGTGGCTGACATGCCAAAGTCACCTTTCAAAAGGAAGAGGTATGTTCAGTTATTTTGCTTGATAAATTTCTGGTTAGTATTCTTTCTCTACATTTATCCCAAACCTTTTACTCATTGATATTATATCTTTGTATAAATTTCTGTAAATCTAATCTCAAAATATACTTTTAAGTTGCTTTGTTTTGTAAGGATGCGGAATTTTTTTAAACATTGTTTACTATCTGGCTAAGTAAGATGCTGGTCTCTTCTGGAGCATTAGTAGGAATTTAAGGTGAAAACTGCAGTGAAATGTGAACAGGCATGAAACTACTCATGTATGCCATAAGACTGGATTTAATACCCCTATTCTTAAACATGAGTGGATGTTTAAAGACCTCAAGGGGACAAGGGCTCCTCTCTCATCTGAAAGGAGGCACTGTCTTGGTTTGAGCCCAGAGGGCAACTGAGCACCATGCAGCTGCTCACTCCCCCCTTACCCCTCAGGACTGGGAAGGAGAAAATAAAGCAAAAAGCTTGGGAATTGAGATAAGGAGAGGGAGGGGTGACTCACCCATTATGGTCACAGGTAAAAGACAGACTCATTGGTGAAAGAAAACACTAATTTAATTAAAACACTAACAACACTGACACTTAACTAACAGAGTAGGACAGTGAACTGTATAGCCACATCTTAAAAACACATTTCCCCACCCCTCCCTTCTTCCCGGGCTCAGCTTTACTTCAGATTTCTCTACCTCCTCCCCTGCAGTGGTGCAGGGAAGCAGGAAATGGGGGTGTGTGGTCAGTCCTGCCACTTCTTCCTCTTCAAGGAGGAGGGGAATTCCTCTCATTCTTCCTCTGCTCTAGTGTGGCTCCTCCCTCGCAGGAGACAGTCTTCCATGAACTTTCTGCAACGTGAGTCCTTCTCATGGGCTGCAGCTGTTCCCATGATGCTCTAATGTGAGTCACTGCCACGTGTTGCAATTCTCCTAGCACTGAACACAACAGTGGGGGCTGCTTCCCACAGAGTCCTGGCCTCCTTTGGGTGCAGTCACCTGTTCTGGCATGGGGTCCTCCATGGGCTGCAGGTGGGCATCTGCTCCACTGCGGACCTCCGTGGATGGCAGGGGGACAGCCTGCCCCTTCGCCACAGGCTGCAGGGGAGTCTCTGCTCTGGTTCCCCCACTTCTTCCTTCTTTCTTCCACTGACCTCAGTGTTTGCATAGGTGTTTTCCTTGTAACTCTTCCTCACAACTCCAACTCTTCCTCCCAGGGTTCCCCCTTTTAAATACGGTATTACAGAGGCGCAGCCATCATTGCCAGTTGGCTCGCCCTTGGCTAGAGGTGGGTTTGACTTGGAGCTGAGGAGACTTTGAGAAGCTTTTCACAGGGGCCATTGCTGTAGCCCCCTCCCCTGCTGCCAAAAACACCTCCCCACACACACAAATCCAGCACAAACACCTCCGACATTAAATGACAACTTTAAGCTTTGCTGTTGATAGTGGGTATAAGAACCAGCTTAAGAGTAGGGGTGTCTTCTTCAGAAATTGAATATTGTGTTTCATGAGTAATTATGTCTTTGGAGTTCTCTTGTTCAAAAATCAAACATAAAAAGGGAGCATACAAGAACCGGAAACAGGATCAGGTGCCTTGTAAGGAGTATAGAGACGTTCAACCATGAAGGGAATGCAGATAAAGCCAAAAACCATCTGGAGTTGAATTTGGCAAGGGATGTGAAGGGCAAGAAGGACTTCTAACAGCCGTACAGAGAGCAAAAGGAAGACTAGGGAGAATGTTAGGCATCTGCTGAAGGGGACAAAGGACACAGAAAAGGCCAAGATACTCTGCTTTCTTTGCTGTTATCTTCACTGGTGAGATTTACTTTCAGGAGCATCAGGTCCCAGAGACAGTAGGAATGTCTGGAGCAAGGATTACTTGCTTTCAGTGGAGGAGAATCAGGTTAAGGAACATGCTATATGTACAGATTAGACAGACACAAGCCCATGGGACCTGATGAGATGTACCTACAAGTGCTGTGGGATCTGGCCAGTATTATTGCAAGGCCATTCTTGAGTGTCTTTGAAAGGTCATGGCAATTGGCAAAAGGTTCCTGAGGACTGGAGGAAAGCAAATGTCACTCCAGTCATTTAGAAGGGTGAGAGGCAGGACCTGGGGAACTGCAGACCAGTCAGCCTCACCTTCATCCTGGAAAGGATGCCATTTCAAACATAAGGGATGAGATGATTGCTGGGAGTAGCTATTATTGATTTACAATGGGAAAATCATTGTCGTATCCACCTGATAGCATTCTACAACAAAGTGAGTGGCTCACGGGATGAGAAGAGTGCCAGGGGTGGTGTGTATCTTGAATTTAGCAAGGTTTTCCACACTGGACACCTGTCTCCTGTAACATCCTAATAGCCAAATTAACGAAGGATGAACTAGACTTATGGACAGTGAAGTGGATCAAGAACTGGCTTAACTGCCATGCTCAAAGGGTTGTGATCAGCACAGAGTTCAGCTGGAGGACAGTCACTAGTGGAGTAACCCAGACACTGATACCTTGTGTTCAACAGTTTCATTATGACTGGGATGAGGGGACAGAGCACACCCTCAGCACTTTTGCAGGTGCTACAGAACTGGAAGGAGTGACTGACACACAGTGGGGTTGCGCTCCCAGTGAGAGGAACCTTGAGAGGCTGTAGAAATGGGCCAGTTCAGTGGACTCATGAAGCTAACCTAGGGATGTGCAGAGCCCTGCACCTGGGAGGAACAAGCCCGTGCACCAGCACAGGCTGAAGACCAGCTGGCTGGGCAGCAGCGTGACAGAGTAGGACTTTTGGGTCCTGAAGGACAACATGTTGACCAGCAGCCATGAGCGTGCCTCTGTGGCAAAGCAGGCCGGCAGCCTCCCGGGCAGGTTGGGAAGAGCACTGCCAGCAGGGTGCGGGAGATGATTCTTCCCCTCTGCTCATCGCTATGAGACATATCCGGAGTATCATGGCCAATCCTGGGCTTGCCAGTCCAAGACAGACATGGCCATACTGGAGCAAATCTAGTGACGTGAGGTGAGAGAACTGGGATTTACCGTTGAGAAAAGAAGGCTCATTCGGATCATATCACTGTGTATAAGCGTCTGATGGGAAGTTGTTAGAAGGACTTTTCTCAGCAGTGACCGGTGATGTGACCAGAGGTAATGAGAACAAACTGAATTACAAGAAATTCCATTTAAAATAAGTGGGGGGAAAAAGTTTTCCGTGTGGATGGTTGAACACCAGGACAGGTAGCTCAGAGAGCTTGTGGCATCTCCGTCTTCGGAGTTGCTCAAAACTTGACACAGTTGTGAGCAACCTGCTCTAGCTGAGTGGGAGAATGTCCTGGGTTGAGTGAGTGGTGGAGTTCTTCGGTGGCAGGGGAGGGGGCTATCGGGGCGGCCCCCTGTGAGAAGCTTCTCGAAGCTCCCCCAGCTCCACGTCAGCTCCACTTCTGTTTGGGAAATTGAGCCAATCGGCTGCGCCTCTGCGATAACGTATTTAAGAAGGGACGTGGTGACGGGCAGTGGGACTTGTGAGGAGGAGTTGCTGCAGCTGCCTGAACACCAAGGTCAGTGGAGAAACGGAGGAAGAAAGGAGGGGGGAGGTGTGCCGGAGCAGAGACCCCCTGTATCCTGTGGTGAGACGGCAGGGCGGCCCCCCCCTGCCACCCATGAAGATCTACGGTGGAGCAGACATTGATTTATGGCCTGTGGCTTCTGCTTGTATGATCAAGGTTCTGTGCCCGAAGGCGGCCAGGGTCTCATGGGAAAAGGTAGCCCTGCTGCTGTAATTCAGTGCTGGGAGGATTGCAGCATGCGGGGGAGTCCCACGCCGGAGCAGCTCAGGAAGGGCTGCAGCCGTGGGAGGGAATCCAGTCAGAGAAAGTTAGTGACCCATGACGGAGCAGTGTGGGGAACGCTGTGGCCTGTGGGAGGAACTCATGTCGGGGAAAGTTTGTGGAGGACTGTCTCCTGTGAGAGGGGGACCATGATGGAGCAGGAGGAACAAGTTCTGGAAACTCCCCTCACTGAAGATAAAGGAAGTGGCAGCACTGACTGCACCCCCCATTCCCTGCCCCTGCGCCACTGGGGGAGGAGGTAGAGATATCGGGAGCAGAGCTGAGCCCGGGAAGAAGGGAGGGGTGGGGGGAAGGTGTTCTCAAGATGTGGCAATGCTTCTCGCTGTCCTACTCTGTTACATATCGTTAGTGTCTGTAATAAATGTATGTTCTTTTTTTTCTTCCCCTAACGAGTCTGCCTTTTGCTCGTGATCATAAAGGGGAATTTTTCCCCATCCCAGTCCTATCTCAAATCCCAAACCTGGCTCTGTCCCTTCTCATTGCCGGAGGAGAAGGGAGAGAGAGCTGCTGCGTTGTGGTTGGCTGCCAACCAGGCCTAAACCATGACAGGGAAGCTGGACTACACAGTCTCTACATGTCCCTTCCAAGCTTGACTGTGTTATGATTATAAACAGCTGTTGCAAAAATGTTGCACACAAAGTTGTCTCTAGGTGACCAAGAAAATGGTCTTGTGGCTCTTTTCCTGTTCTGCACTGTTTCCTTCACTTTTCATTAAACTGTGAGGAAATATTTTTTTGCTGCTTCTCATTCCCAGTTCTATAATGTGGAACTAAATACACATGCACACTTCCCAGCAGTTTGGTAGAAACATGAATGATGAAGAAAGACTTGAGAGACAATTGCAATGTATACCTAATAGGAAGCAGCAAAGACCAGCAGTTCCCTGCTGGGGCTGATCATGGTAGGGCCCAGTCTCGCAGTGCCTGTGGGAGGCAGGTGGGGCAGAGCTGGGGTCCGGGGGCCACATTCAGCCCAGACTTGAGTGTGTCAGGCACATGTGGGGATGGGACAAGTCTGAGATCAAGTCAGGAAGCCAGGTCTGGTGATTGCCAGGCAGGGCCATCATGACAAAGCCATCCTGAGGTCAAGCTGGGAAGCAAGCCTGTGGCCCAGCACACTTCTGGCTAAGGTGGAGACCAGTGGTCCTTCAGTATGGCCCAGGCCTGAGCTTAGATAGAGCTCCTGGGCTTTTTGAGTTTGTGGAATGAGGCTGCTCAGTCATTAGGTCCTTTTGGTGCACTCAGGGCCCTGACACTGTAGTGGTATTGGGGTGTTTTTTTTATTTTATATTTTTTTAATTGCATAGGTATTCTGATTTTTTGCATAGCTCATTACATTTTTAATTTCCCCTAACTGCTACTGTTTTTCTCATTTGACTATATGTTCTCACTGAAGGGAGAAAACTAATCCTATTGGCTGTGGTGGAAGCTAGGTAATTAAGAGAAATTTCTGTATCACTAATACTGGTTTTGTTATACAGAACTACCAATGAAATAAAAAATTTGCAGTACCTACCTCGAACCAGCGAACCCCGTGAAATGCTATTTGAAGACCGGACACGAGCCCATGCAGATCACATAGGACAAGGTTTTGAACGACAGACTACAGCTGCTGTGGGAGTATTGAAGGCTGTGCACTGTGGAGAGTGGTATGTGTTGACTGACTTACCTAGATGTTTGAAAAATATTTGCCTGAATTTCCATTTGTAATTAGTAGAAAGAGCACAGAACAGGTTATCTAACATTAGAGATTTAATGAAGACTTAATAGATATTGGACTTTTTTCCTCATCTGTCTCTGTGCACTAGATGTGTTGGCCCTCTGGTAGATTGCATACAGTTTTACTGTGTGGTTAAAACTAGAAAGGTGCCTTGCAATGACAGCTTAATAGCTATAATTGAGTTTCTGTAACTGAGTTAGATTTAAAAACGCTTCACACTTTGTTTTGCTTTAAATAGTGCACATGGGCTGTCCTGAGTTTGTGCCTCAGAGGTGCACATGAAGACCTTTTGGCAATTCTTTGTGTTGTCAGAAGATGAGCAGAATTTTTATGATTCTGCTTCAAAGTCATGGCTGTTATATCCCTGATTTATTTATGGTAGATCACCTAGGAAGAATCCTGTTGGAAGTTGTGTGATATTCTTTGATGTGTGTCTTTGGAATTCCCATATGATGATATTCAGGAAATGAATGTATCTCATTTGAAGCTGTTTACATTTTAGCTAAATAAAAAGCCCATAATTGTATGGGCTTCCTGGCCCTGATTGAAGACACATTTTTCAGGATTCTCTGACCTTGATTTAGGAGAATGACCTTCGTTCTGGAGGTTACCTTTGCATGTGTAAACACTAAAACCACCTTTTGCTCTTTGTATCTGTATTAGAAATTAGAAGAGTGAATTCCCTTTGGATGAATTTATGCAGATTTGTGTTACAGTGCATGAGTTCATCGAGATAGAAAATTGAGTAATTGGTGTTGGGGAAGAGTTGGGTTGTTCAGATGTTAATGTGCCTGTATTTTGGACTCTGAGGTTTTGCAGTTTACTACTTTAGGTTGATGATAGCTGGAGACTTAAATTTCCTGCTTGTTTTGATTGTGAGAAGCTGGAGTGAATTAAGACTCAGCAGTGGTAGCAGGGTAAGAGCTGAGATACTTTGTAGATGTCATGATTTCAAATTATGCTTTGCACATATGGGAGAGAGACTCAAAGCTTTATCAAAGGAAGTAAAATATCAAACAAAACCTCATTCCCCAAACTTGCGTGTTTGTGGAAATTAATAAGAATTTAAATTGGTAGCAATTTAAACGTCTGTGGGAACTTCCCATTCTCATCCTATACCTTCATAACAAGATCTTCCTCCCTTGGAAATCACTGCACGTTCATTTACATTCTAGAAATAGATTTTCTTGCTTTTCAGCTCTAAACCATCATCTTCTCTCATATGTTGGAACTTGTGGAAAAGGGTGTTTATTCCGCTTCCATTAAAACTGTTTTTAAACTTGAAAAAAAATAATAGAACTGGTAAAAATAAAATTTGTGTAGATGAAAAAGTGATCTGAAAATAGGCAAAACTAGGCAAAACTGCCCAACATACTTGAAAGTATTTCAGTTTGGGGGGGAAAAAAAAATTAATTATCAGCATTTCACTTCAGCGTAAGGACTTAAAATGTATCTTTTAATGCAGAATAATTATGTAGAAGAGGTAAATATATGACACAATCAACACTAAAAGTTATGTATTTCAAGCTTGATTTGACCTCAGTGATAACTTCTCCGTTCCCTTTCCACTTTCTTGTATAATTTTGAAAAGCCACTTCACTGTACTTAAATGAAGAGGACTAAGCAGGGCTTATGATAATGAAGCACCATTAATTAATGTAACACATTAAAATAATTTCAGATATTAGCTTTACTGTAATTTGTAAGCTGTGGGTAGATTTATTTTAAAGGAAACAACATGCATGGAAATTTTGAAAAATCTGTGTGTGTGATTTTTTTTTTTTTTTTTTTTTTTTTTTTTAAAATCTGTTTGAGTAGTTGAACAAAACTGAAAGTTGGAGATATTCCAGAGGTGATCAGGGTACTATGGTGGTAAAAATGCACATGTTTTAATGATGAGATACCATATATAAAATTCATGTTTTCTGTGAGGAGAAAATAAAGCAATTCCTAGATGTGCTGAACTGGGTTGTCGGTTTTTGTTTAGTTAGTATAAAAACTAATTGGGTGTGCTAAAAGAAGCTTTGTAATCAAGAAGTTGCTGTAGATTTAAAGAAAGTGGGATTTATTCAGTAGTTGATAGGCAGGAATGTTAATGTTAGGATAACTGGTGTTTTTCAGAAAAGATAGAAACAGGACTCTTCAAAGGCAAAAAGCAGTTTTTGGGTATAGAGGACAGAACTGGAAACAAAAGCATTTGGAAGAACAATAAAAAAATAATTCTTGCTTTCCCAAATGTGACAGGCTCTTGATTTGAGATGCTTTGTAAAATTACTGGATTATGATATTTTTTAATTTATGTGAATATTTACAAATTGTAGAAGAACCTTAGCTCTTGCTAGCAAACGTTTTAATGACTGCACTGCATTGAAGTCTGATAAACACTGGTGTTATGATCATGCTGGTTACTTAATGCCATTTTTGTAGGTGATACCAAGTGCTCTTTCGAATTTATGAAATGCCGGTGAAATTTTAAGTTATGGAAACTTTGAAGATTTTTACATGGGAAATCTGCATGGGTTTTTACAGGGACAGCAAAAGGTCCTTCATGGCATAGTTGTTGGCAAAATGAAACTCTGTCCTGTGCTTCAGCAAGCAGCTTTCAAATTTGTGTTCCAGAGTGTGAAGTTGTTAGTGCTTCTCTATATGATTGTAGGAATTTGTTATATATTGCCAGGCTTCATGCATTAGGTCAGAAATATTCATGGTAAGACCTGTACTCTTTAATCTGTTTTGAAAAGTTACAGCAAAAAGAGTCCAGCCCTTTTGAAGAATGAGGCTAAGGAAGAAAATTATTGCCAAAAATAGTTCTAACAGTGCTCTAGTAGGGACTTAAATGGATTTTTCTGAAGTCATCTTAGAGTTCTGTTTGCATTTAATGTCTTTTTTGGACATCTAACAAAACTATTTTGCTACTGTTTTGCTTGGGGGGGGGATGATGCCCTGTAAACTTCAGATTTTACAAAATATAATCCCAAAGTTGTGCTAAATATCAAATCTGCAAATGCAGAATTAAAAACTATCTGGCAATAATTTTTCTCTGTTGTGTTTGCAAAAGGAATGTCATGTTTTGTGACAGAATTGCAGCACAGAGTTGGTAACGTATGCTGTTGCACATATATATAGGGACTGAGAAAAGGAATGATTTAACAAAAATCATTAACTACTTTGTCCTGTATAATGTGCAATAGTGAAGACACTTCTGTGAAAGCATTGATTTGGATTTAAATTCTTTTAGTATGCAAATATTCTTTGTTTTTATTTTAATTCTTAATTTACAACTATTGTTAACTCCAGATACAGATACATATTTTTTAAAAAAATAAAAAACATCTGCATTATAAAAAGTAGATTAATATAGCGAATATGTTTTTATGCCACTGATTAGAGATATTTCTATAAGTTTTTTGCTTTCAGTGCTTAAATCCTCTTTAGGAGTATATGGACCAAAGTATAGAGACATTTTAATCTTTGTAAAATTGCAAGCAAAATATATGGTCTGAAAATTCTCTCCAGAATACTTTCAGTATTTAATCTGGTATGTTTTTTTTTTGCCCTGAATATAGCCTGACTCTGGTTATTTTTTGCTTTATTGAGGTTATGACCTAAATAAAATAAACATGTCTCATCAATTTAAAGAGCCCAACAAACTGCACATCATTGCCTGCTTCTTAGAACATTAATAACATCATATCTATCTATCTATCTATAAGTTGATTATCATCTTGCTTTTAAAAAGAACGCTTGAACATCCATTAAATACATTCTGAAATGTATCACACTGTTCTGCTGCATCAGATCCTCCCCGGGCCCCAGTAAATCCAAACCTGTGGCCCAGTTTGATGCTGTGGGGAGGTGGCGGCAGTGGGGCGCAGGGTGAGGGGGTGGGGGTGGGCTGCCCAGCCCTGTGGGCCTGTCTGGCTGATGAATTTTCCTTGCAAAACTAGTCCAGTGTGAGATTTATTCTAGATAAATGAAATCTTCAGATCACTGCATTTCTAAAAAAATATTAAAAAACCAAACATCCCTCAAAAACAAACACATGGAGCTTGGTTTTATATGCTTCTGTTGAAGAGCTGAGCTTGGCTTTTAGGTCAGAAAGTGATAAGGATGATATCTGGTTTTGTCTCAAGAGGAATTATATAAATGGTTCGCGTTTCTTTGGGAAAGATGTGGAACAAGAGATGAATTCTAACAGTTTTAATACAGAGACAAACCCTAATTCAGATTTTGCTCTTCTGTAGCTCTCTAGTGAGCACAAATAGGAATGTATTTTTAAGAATGTTTTGCAGAGGTAGCCAGTATTTGCTGCTTACTAGCATTGTGGCAGCTTAATGTATGTTCAGCTTTACTACTAACTCTGAACAAGATGTTTAAGGCTAAGATACTAAGCAGTGTTTGCCATAATACTACTCAGACTGCTACATAATTTGGGGTACCTGATGGGTGTGTCACTTTAATGCTGACAGAGTAAGCCCAGCGTATCTGGGGCGTATGTCTTTCAGTGTCAAGGCAGACAGAAGTCAATTAAAAAGAAAAATTAAAAATAGTGAGTTTTGTTGACCTGTTACTGCTGCTTTTACTGCTGCTTGTAAAGAAAATGTGGTTAGTTTGTTTAACCAGTTTAATGAGGTTGTGTTTGAGAATTAGCAAGTTTAGTCAATCTTTTTTGTTCAAAATGTAGGTTGTGCTAGAATGGTTTGTGGGTTTTTTTTTTGTTTTTGTTTTTTTTTTTTTTATCATTTGCTTTATCTTTGTTTGCAGATTTTATTACTCTCCTGTAGCATGTTAGTTTTGTCCCCTGACTGTGCAATTCTTATTATTCTGTAGGTCTGAGCAGCCTCGTATAACCAAAGATGTAATTTGTTTTCATGCTGAAGACTTCTTAGAGGTAGTTCAGCGAATGCAATTAGATTTGCATGAGCCTCCACTCTCACAGGTAAGCATGCTATGAACTGTTGATCAGGTGTCCTCTGAGTCCTAAATCGGAGTTTTCACCCTTTTTTCCCCTCTGCTTTTTTTCCTTCAGTGTGTCCAGTGGGTTGATGATGCAAAACTTAATCAACTGCGAAGGGAAGGCATTCGATATGCCAGAATTCAGTTGTTTGATAATGACATTTATTTTATTCCAAGGAATGTTGTGCACCAGTTCAAAACAGTTTCAGCTGTGTGCAGTTTGGCTTGGCACATCCGGCTCAAGCTATATCATTCAGAGGAAGAACTTTCTCAAAATGCAAGTACTGTTGAAGCAGGGACCTCTGCAGACTCCAAGTCTTCGGTTATTGGACTTCAGACTGACAGCAGAATTTGTACGATGAGCAAAATTACCTCCGAAGACACCAAATTTTCAGAAGTTCTGCCGACAAAGTATCTGCAGCAGGAATTTATGCCGATAAAACATGAACCTGTCGCATCTCACCGAATAAAAGAAGAACCCGTGAATGTTGATCTTGCTGAAAAGACAGTGGCACCTAATGAGGTTGGGGGCCAGAACATTCAGACTAGATTGGATCATGTTGAGTTGACGGCATTTAAGTTGGAAGTGGATTCTAAATTTGAACCTGGCAACAAGGACTTACAAGGCAAGTTATGCCCTGGAGGTCACATACATCCGGATGATACAAGACAACATAGTTCATCATATCCAAAAGTGCATGGACAAAGAGAGGATGATTTTTTGTGCTAAATTTGTATATATGGTTTTAAATTCCTTTTTAAACTTAATGATGTAATAATGTAAAGATTCATAAATTCTGTGAGGCAAGTTTGTGACTTGCCTTCGCATCTGTTACAGAAAATAGTTATGTAGCTTTGTAACATTCCTCAGTGCCTGTCCATAACTGTGAAGTATCAAAGCACTTAGGGCCAGATGCACTGTAAACACTGCAGGTTTAACATAAAGAAGTCTTTAAATAATTTTGAGTTGTAGGTTTTAGAGTAGAGCTGACATTTAACATATATATTTTTTGTAAGATGAGCCAGAATTCTTTTTGACAATTCCAGGCTTTTCCATAGAGCTTATTTATACCAATTTTTTCATTTTAAATGTGTCAGCACTGTAGTTGTAAATATCTTTTTTAAAAATCTTTTTAGTGTGATTTATACTGAAATGTGAGCCGCTTAATAAAGGTTCATAATAACAGATTGGTTTTATTTTTGGGTCTGCAAAAAATAATTCAGTTAAACTGCCTCTCTAGATGGTTATGTTTCTACCTGCACTAATGCATAGGACGATGCCCTTACGCCGTTGTGGGGTGAGGAGCTGTAGCAAACTGAGGTAGAGCTGAGGCATTCTTTGTAAATCAAGATTAGTCAGAATGCAAAATCAGTCCTCCCTTCACAGGATTCCTTAGAGTTGCTCATTAAAGGCACTCCCCAAACTCCTGCTGTCAGATGTTCGTGTGGAACAGAGGCAAAACCTTCCCCTGTGGTGGAGGACAGTTGGACACCCAGTGGGCTCCGGGAGCGCTACCAGTGACTGCATCTCTTGAGATGAGCTGGTGCAAGGGAGCAAACTCCCTTCCGTGCTTGCCACTTCCACCTGCTCAAGCCACAGTTAAGACAGATCCATTTCACTTAAAAACCAAACACACAGCAACAACCGCCCCTCAACTTAATCAGTTATCTGACTAAAATTTAAAAAGAAAAAAGTAAATAGTTACTTGTCAAGTTACAAAGGCCTCGACGTTAGCAGTAGCCTGTAATTCACAGAGACGCATTTGGGTTTGAGTTGCTCCCTATGCTGATAGCATCAGGCAATAACGATACTTGCCAGTGTGTCTGGTAGGAAGGTTCCTCATGAGTCCCAGTTTGGAAGCAAGAGTTACTTCATTAAGAAAATAACAGCGGTGTCCAAGTTAACTGTTCTCTTCTTGCCCCACCTGTGGAATGCTTTCATTCTCTTAAGCCGTGTTCTGAGGGCAGAGGATTTCAAGGCTAGCTAGCATCTGATGTAGTAATGGCAAAAACACTGTAATTTAACTTATTTAATTCTTTCTGTAACATATTACTGTATAGTTCAAACACATCTGAATGATATTTCTTTTTCAGGTAGCTGCAAATAGTAGTAAGCTGCCCTACAGCCAGTCCTTCAACTAAGTGTTTAAAATTTAAGGTCCTGGGTCTGTTATTATTTCCAAAGCCCTGTGCATCTGATTTTTTAAATTGTTATTTTTGTCTTCATTTGTAGCAATAGAACAATGTGATTTCCAGGTGATACCTAGTTCAACTACCTGAGGCCCTTTGGTTGTAAACATTCTTTGCCTAAAATTTGTGTTAAAATTCAAGGTGTTACTGCATACTTATGCTTGGCACTAAAATCAGCCATTTAACAGATGAATGCCCTGATATGTTTAAATCCAAAATAGGTCTGTCAAGGAATTATTGTTTAGCAATTCAAGTACTGATTTAGTTATTACTGCTACATAGCCATAATTACGTATTAGAGAAGCAATAGAAATATGAATCTCTTGGATGTGGCTAATATGTCTGTGAGTCTTACTGCTATTTTCTTTAACATTGGCTAAGAGATTACTACCAGTTTTGCAGCCTCAGGGATCTTGCTTTCCCCTCACGCCATGAGCAAATGATTCATGTGTGACATGGTAAGTTATTACTCTGGCAGATTCTGAATTGAAAAATTAACTGGTTCATGTAAGAATTTGAGCCTTCCCGATAGCAGTGGTCTCGGCTCCCTTTGTTTTTTGGATTATCTGGAAACTTCCACCCATAATCTCTTTGGCTTTATGAACATCCATACACAATTATGTAACCTTCCATTCCCGCTCTCTGTGCCAGCCGTTGGAGAACAGTGAAAGAGAAGAGCTGCAGGTTGTAGGTTGTACCAAACATGCAGCTTTCCAAGGGGGCTAGCAGAAGGCTCCAGCTTTATCAAACCCAGCCACGCCAGATACAGCTGTTCTTTAAAAAAAGCAAAAACGAAAACCTCAACTATTTAGTTGGGGGGGGAGGAAAAAAAAAATTTTGTATGCTGGTGATCCGTATGCTGATCATTCTGGTTCAAGTATTTTTTTTTTTAATCTGTCAGATTTTAGTGAAGTGTACACATCCCCTTTGACAGCACACAACTTTCTGCATCGTAGGCCCTGTCCAGACTGAAGAAATAAATCTTTAAAAATGATTTAGCAAACATAACTTTACACTTAAGAGTAGAACTTTGTTCCCTTTTGAAGACATGCTCGGTGGTCTTGGCTGATACGGCCTCAAACTTCTGCTCAGGTATGCCTTGGTTCTGAAATTTTGTTTCTAAATTGCCTGCATCTTCAACTCAGTTTTTTCTGTTTTTTTAATCAGATTCAGAATTTTAAGAGATTAAAAAAAGTGGAAGTTTTTGCAATCTTTATGCATCCTTTATTTTTGATTTTTGAGACAGACTAGATTCTCATTTTTAGACAGAATTCCTTGCAGACGGAATATGAACAATACTGGGATTACCAATGGCTGTCAGAAAACTCCCTTTGTATTCAAAGGTGTAAACAGTCCGTGTCAACTGGCTGTATTAGTGTATACTTCTTGCCTTGCTTTTTTTCTTAAAAAAAAAAAAAAAAAAAAAAAAAAAAGTTTTTTGTCCTCGACCTGTGGTGTATTCATTTTGATGCGGTTTCTCTTTAAGAGAGGAGTACCTTTTCTGAGAATTTCAGCTCCCAAAATGTTCATTAGTCCGACAAAGGTCTTGCTTTGGTTTCAAGTGGTCCTATGCTCTAACTTTTAATCCTGCTACGTACAACTTCATATTCAGACTTTTGCTTCAGCAATAAATCTTTCATGCCTTCTGATGTACTGAAACTAGTCTTTGCTTATTACTTCTGGCCCCCGTCTCCCCCCCTCGAATTTCAGTTATATATAAATCTTCCTGTTATTTCAGCTGAAATCTCCAGTGTTTTAGCTGTCTCTCTTGGCCCTTGTTGTTCTGCAGATTGGAAAAATCTGCTTTAGGCCCATTGCCTGTACTGCAGTGGTATTGACATCTGTGCGTTTGCAGTTAATGACATGATGTGCAGAAATTTAGACGTGTTTTCCTAGGTACTGGTACCATATTTGTGGGTAGCAAAGAATTGCATTGTTACTGTCACTACCAATAGCTTTCAAGATGGTAGTTTTCTTTTTTTTTTTTTTTTTTTAAATTACTAGATCTTTTGCATTTCACTGGCAACTGACTTCATGTGTTACATACAAGTGTTACTCAGTGTTGTATCACCCCCCAGCCCTCCAAATGCCTGCAAATTGACTCTGAAACAGCATTTTCATTACAGGTACTGCCGGCATGCAGATTTTCCCTTCCTTGTTACTATAGTGAATATTTCAATACTTCTTTAACTGAAATATTAATTCTATCTAGTATTAGAAATAGAGTATTATTTCAGAGGGTAATGATTTAAGTATTCATCTGTGAAAGAATTCCTTGGTGATAAATAAAATTGATTTTTAAGCAGATATGTATGTGCACAGTAAATAAGTTGGCATTGCAAATGATGTAGGAAATGGAAACATAAAATAGTAGAATGCTGTGAAACAGATCTGAACATTACATATTTGGAAAATTTAATAAGTCTTCCAAGAAACATGGGATTGGTATTCATTGATCAAAATGACTGTTTTCTAATACCTGCATGTGAGTAAGGATGCTGAATTGATTGAAATAAATCCATGTTTTCTCCATGCTCATTGGCAAAATGAACTGTTGTGAGACGGTAGGCTGCCACCTGACCCTACTAGTATGAAAACTGTACTAATTCTGATCAAGAGATAAAAGAACTTTGCAGGCTTCTCAAGTGTAATTTTATTAATTTTTTTCTAGTGGTCAAATATGTAGAGAACCTTGTCTTTGGGCAGACCAGTGCTTGTTACCTGACTGTGGATGTAAACAAGTTGGAAATGGACAAATTCCCACTGATCTGTGCTTCGCTGTGAATGACATTGTTGAGAATGTTTTCTTTGATTGTGAGCACTGTGTTCAACTGATATTTTACTACTTTCTCAAACGGATGAAATGCACTTTAAAAACTGTATAATAGGTGATAGTGATATTTTGTGCAGATCCCACTGAATTTGCTGCGTACATGGGAAAATTTGGGAAAACTGATTCCCATCAGTCACTCATTTTATTTTTCTTAGAAATGCCAATTATTTTGTGTTCTGTTCAGAAGCAGTGATTAACTTCACGATATTTAGGTTGCTATTTCTATTAGAATCATCAGGGATACTGACTTTGCGAATTTAGTGTATTATATTCTAACCACTGTTTTTCTCTGTGCTATGATGCTAATATTTCCTCTGCTTCAGAGCCGTGCTGTACTTGAGTGCCAGCTAAACACTGATCTTCTCATGTTCTGGTCATGCTGATAGATGAGCCTACTGATGAGGGCATTAGTCCTAAATAGTCCTTTAATATTTGGTGTACAGTTATGATAATCTAATACAAATATTGATTAAAACAGCAGTTTAAACTTCTATTTTTATCAAGTTTGATTTGTCAATAAGTATTTTGATGTTTTCTTTACCAGTCCATTTCCAATCTATCCAAATGAAAGTGCAATGTATGGTAGAGCTAAGGCCTGTGTTGTAAGAACTGTGCTTTTTATGGCACCATTTTTATCTGGTTGTCTCAAGACAAAATAGCTGAGAAAGCTACTTCTTAAGTCTCTCAAGAAGATGACCTTGAGAATTAGAGCTGTGTGGAAGACTAATGTAACCTAAGTCAAGACTGCTATGTCATAAGCAAGGAATAACACTCAGGTATTTGTCTGTCTAATCAATGCAGCTGAGAACTTTTGTTAATCTCAGAAATGAAGTTTTGGGACTAAAAAACATATTTTAGCAGCGATTTCTTTATAAACTCCAAAAGGAAGACTGAGATAAAACTAACACAGATAAACTTAAGATTGGGTTCTCCTTTCTTGCCCTTATGCTGACGCTCTGTGCTATATGAAGACTTGTCTTACATTTGCCTGCTTGTGATGCTGGTTTTATTAGAAAAGGCAGACTGAAGGAAATACTGTTACCGAGGTGCAGATTTTTCCACTCTTTATCCAACTTCAGTACAAGGAAAAAATGTTGATTTACTATTGAATAGTACCATAGAGATTCAACTGCAGTGATTCCTTAAATTGCCTTAGTCCACAAAAGCCTGATGCTTTTCAGCAGCAAGTTGATACCCGGCCCTGTTCAGGTATAAAAGGTTCATATTGGAGACTAACTTCATCCAAACCTCAAAACAGTAAAGGTCCAATGAAAAGGTACACCCCTTTTCCGACTTGGCGTAGTTCTTTTTACCTCAATCTTAATTACAAAAAAAAAAAAAAAAAAAAAAACGTGTTACATGATAGTGCTATGCTTTCTGTGATAATAAATTAAAAGAGCTTCCTGAGGATGTAGTTATTTGGGAGCTTTATTACTGAAAACCAATGTGATTTGTTCCCAAAATGTAGTGGTGTTAAAATAGGTAACACCTAACATTGTTAGAATTCTGAGATTCTGGGAGTCTCAGATTTCACGTTCATCAATACCTTTGCATCACCCAACTTTTGAACTGGGAAAATATGAAAATTTCCATGAGGTTACTCTTAAGATTTTGTTTCTGTACTACTGTGCATATATGTCACAAAAATAGCAGTGCTTTCATCTCTTAAATTGTTGTGCGACTTAGTCCTGTGGTAGCTTCTTTTTTAATATTGTCACCCATGCCGAGCAGTGCATTTTAGGTTCATGTACACATGTCTTTAGAGCATTCAGGTTAAAGTTTGTTGAAGGTGAGGATGTATATCACATAATTGTATTTTACAAGTATAAAAAGAACAGAAAACTGGATACTAGTCTACAGTGGTGACAAATGAAAAAAAGTAGTATGACTAGGTAATTGCAAATGTTAGTTTCATGACCTTTCACACGTGCATCAAGTATTTTCCTTAATCTGACAAAAGCAGATACTCACAATTTGTTCAAACTTGTATAAAGTAGATCATATATCTCCATATACAGTATTTATCAATAGGTATGTAATGTATATCATCAAAATATGATAAATACTTCCAGTTTCATTTCAGAACAGCAAAGCTTTTGAATTGCATTTCAGATTAAGCTGCTGAAGGCAAAGCTCTCCCCTCCACACGCCCCACCAGCTGCTGTGGGTAACTGGGATGTGTTCCTTGGTGCGCTGGGAACTCGGCTCAGTTTCCTTCTGCCCATTTCTCACAAATCAGTATGAGCCGTCTCGGCATCAACTTCACCTTTTCTCTGCCAACTTCATCAAATCTGCTTTTCACTCATTTCATTCTATTTAATGAAGATCAGTCCATCAGTCTGCAAATTTAAGAAAAAGTGTGAGGAGAACTCATGCCATTTCAAATCTGTGACCTGTGCCTTCGAGAACAGGGTAGTTACAAGTACAGGTAACAGCTTCTGGAAAGGTCACAGTGTGTTTGGTATTGTAAGTCCTTTTGAATGAAGTTCTGGTATCACAAAAAAGTGAGCGTGTGTATAAAGGGGTCAGCACAGTTTAGGTCAGTTAAGTCTGATGCAAAATACTAGGCCAAAAGAGATATTCCTCTTACCAAAGTATCTCTGTAAGGACTAGGAACTTGCAACAAAGTTTAGCACTTCCAAAGGCTTGTGTCCTAAAGGCATCTCATCTTGTGCTAAAGGAAGTCAATGTGTCTGTGACTTCTGTAGGACAGCGGAAAGAAAAGTCTGCTTCAGATTTCAAAATCATTACCATTTATTCCAAAATTTGTAAAACTTTAAAAAAAAAAAAAAAAAAAAAAAGGGGGGGGGGGGTGTGGGCACAAAAGACAAACCAGCAACTGCAACACTGAAATAGTTCATCTTTTTCTGTTGAATTAGAGGAAGCAATTAAAAGGAGATTTGAAACAACTGTGTTCAATTGTTGTTAATTAGAGATGCCAAACTTTCAGCCAATTGTTGTATCTGTGAAATAGAAGGGGTTTATTAAGGGGGCAGAGTCACCATTTGTGGCCCATCTTGCTAATAATATACCCAGTCCTAATGAGGCTAGTTCCTATTCTTCCATCGTTTGTTGTGTTAAGTTATAATGATCTGTTAACATCATTGGCTTGACGGAGGAAGGCTGCTCTGTGCTTCTGAGCAGTGTGGGGTTTTTTGGCATAGCATGAACAAGGCTTTTCTGCTTTTTATTCTGTGGTAAGCATCGGCTGGGGAAAGACTATGGGAACTTGGTTTTATGCTTGCTGGAGATGAGTGTGTCTATATATGCTTATATATGTCTTGTCTGAAACGCTTACGTGGTTGTTACATATTTGCATCAGTGTTTGTGAAGTGGTTCATAAAAGTTGATCTTAATTGGAGGTGGGTCTTTAGGTACTCTTTCTTCTCCATCAATTTTAAAATCATCCAGTGAGAATTCCACTTGAGGTTTAGCTTGCCTGCCAGAGGACACACCTGGAGTATTGCATCCTAGAAACCTCGGAGACCCCTGTTTCCATTTGACAGAACCAAAGAACTGCTTGAAAAACTGACATTGGGTGTACAAATTAAGCATATTATCTATACCATATATATGCACGCATACATATACTTACATATAGCATGTATATATGTGTGTGCTTGCTCTTGCATTTCCTATTTTCAGCAGGCCCAAGAACACCCACGGCGGTGAATACTCTTCTTCCCTCCCTGCAGCTAACCCTAATCCCAAGCGCCATTTTAACTTGAAAAAATCACAGAGATGGTAAAGGAAGCCAGTTCTTCACAACAGCCTCATCTGAGTGGGCCAAAAGTCTCTCACAAACACAAAAAATATTTCAGAAATAAGTAGGGCACAGCTACATCTCTCAAAAAATAACTGTTCCTGATAGGCACTGAGGGGAAGATATTTCCAAACATTAGTTTCAGATCTCCATAAATTGCGTGATGTTTATAAACTGGAGCTGAGTACAGGGCTTTGCTTAGTAAAAACTGATGTGTTATTTTTATTATAATAAAGGGATTATAAATATTTTGGTTTTTTTAACAGCTAATGATCAAAGATTTTTTGACTTTTTTTGTCATTGCTTGGTTTCTCCTTTAACAAGGTAGGACAGTCAACCACACTAAAACCAACATGCTAAATTCTTTCTGAAGATAATTTGTTACCTGATAATCTGACTTGAGATCCATTGCCTTAGAATGGAACAAGTGGTTTTCCTAGATAAAGCCCTTTCAACAGTCTCCAATAATATGGTTCCTATGTATTTATGCCCACATATGTGTAACAGCACAAGTAAATCCAAACAATTCAGGGAGTTTTTTTTTTTTAAACCAACAAGTACAGTTGGATGTACACAATTAAAATTGAGAGACACTTTGATCTAGTCACTGGGCTCTTTTCATTCATTAGACATTCTTTTGTACCCAGGAGGTGTACATGGATCAGTATCTTCAGCATGCACATTAATAATGTCATAGACAACTCTTACATTTGAATTTGGTGTTCTTGTAGCTCCTGGAAGAGCACTTACAGTCCACAAAATAGACTCATGGTTCCAGCTTTCCCCAGAAGTCCCATTCATTGCATTTGTTACTTGAAAAAGTTAATTTATTCATATCTGAGTTTGCCAGTACTCCATAAAGCTAAGGCTTTGCTCCTGGAGATTTAACATACTAGGGCATTAAAAGACATCTTCCTTATTAAAATACCACTTCCTGCAGTTAAAAATGCATTACAGAACTCACCGCATAGCTGCAGTCTTTTACAGCACTGGTGATTTAGAAGGGTAACCACCATTGTCTCCCTCTTCTCTGGATCATGGATTGCTGGCACAGTTCAGCTACTTTTTTCTCTACATAAACATACTGGTTACTGTCTGTTTCAGCAGCTTAAAATGGCTTATTTTTAGTCTTTCAGACTGGAAGTGGATTCTCACTGTCAAAAAGAAAATGCTGAGTCAATCCTTTTTTGCTTCTTTTGGCAACTATCAATTGTTACTGATTCTTAAAGCAGATCTAGCACATTTTAGAAATTACTGTTAACTGGTTATTTCTTGAGTGACAGCAAATGTAGTAGTCCTCCTTCCATGGATTACCCAGTGTGCTGAATATGCTGGTAGAACACTTGTGGTTCTTTTGAGAAGATCTACCTGCATGTGAAGAGCCTGTATCTTATTCCATGTAACAAATAATAATTGTATTAGAACAGCTTATGTTGAACAAATACTTTTATTTACAAGAGCATATGTGACAGTTTTGAAATAAAAAAATGGAGCAAGTCTACTTTCAGTCTTCAGCCTGGTTTAGATAAAGTCTCCAGCTTGATTGTTTCCTTATTTGGCTTTCTAATTTGGAAGTCAAGTTTGTGGCAAAACTATAATAATCCAGTAATTTGGTATCAATATCAGTGTTGAAAACACCATAGTATAGCTTAGTCTCTTCGTACATAGAAGATATTGTATCCAAGTTCCACCATACCCCCAATAAGCAAGGCCCACAAAGGGATAAATACATAGGCTAGTTTCATCGTAGTAAATCGCTGCAGTTTAGCACAGAGGGCAAGGCAGAAAGCTAATTTAAGTAGCATTGCAATGAGATACCAGGCTTTCTTCTTGATGTTTTGGGAGCCATTGCGAGGGTCGAAGCCAGACTTGCAACGTCCAGCCATTTTCACAATTAACATAACTAGAAGAATAGTATCAAATATCCAGACTGGAATAAAAATGAGGAACCAGTTCCATGGTGCTTTCTCATCCAGTTTTAGCACCAGCATGATCAGGAAGAGTAATGTAAAAAGCCAGGTCAGTAGTACTCTCTGTGCCAGGGACATTCTCATTTAAACAGCCTTGAAAGGAGGTCTTGCACTGCCAGCAACAACCTAACAAAACAAAAGACCAGGGGGAGGCATCAAAAGATGTCACTACACAATCATGAGGCACAGCCCTTAAAGGTGACTAATTTCTTGTTCTTGATTTCCCACCCCTTCTAACCTGGCCTGCATACTTAGAATGTTATAGCTATCATTCTCAGTGAAGCACTCTGTTTTGTCCTGTCCACCATTTAAGTGCCTCAAGTCAGCTGTGTAAACTGCCTTCATTTAAACTGGTTCTGTGAAGCATTATGCTTTAATCCTAAACTAGCTAACTCATGTACAGATTTTTGTGTGCTAAGAATGTTAAGATTGGTTTTCCTCCAGTACTGAGGCACTCATAGTTAATACTTGAAGATATACCTAACAGTTCTCTCCCTATAACAAAATAATCATAGTAAAATGTAAACCAACCAACAAGCAGAAGTAACAAACCATCAGAAAGATCTTGTAGTCGGCAGAGCTGCAGCTGCAGTGAACCAGTAAGCACTACTCCCACTTTCTGTCAAGCAGCACTCTTAAAACTACTAAAAGCTACAGATGTTTGCTTGCTGGCAGGTATCTAAAGTATGCAGACACTGGCTGACAGGAACATTATTTAGGTTTATTGGCTTGGTAGTATATTTAAATTTCTATGTAGTCATGACAGAAGAAAAACAAGGACAAGTGCATCTGCCACTACAGTCATAAAAATTAGTTTTTATATTCCTGACTGAAAGGCTTTTACCACTGCATCTGCCAGAAGCTTTTCACTGCAAGTATAAAAAGCAGGGGTGAGAAGAACTATGATTTTCCTGAAAATTTCAAGCTACAAAGACAGATAGTATATACCAGTAAAATGGTGCTGAAATAGGTTTCTTTTTTAAAAATCAGATTTTTAGAAATTTGATAATCCCCTTTAGAACACTGATATTCTTTCATTTGAAATAAGAAACTGAGCTTTGATTTGTTCCAGATTACAAGAATATTTAAATTACTGAAAGTGAGGTCATGTTTTCCAAAGCATCTAATCCTCACCACCAGATGCCACAAGGGAAGGACAAGACCTGCTTCCCCGCTGCCTCCTCAGTGTCCCTGGCCACAAACTGCTGCTGCTTCCTAGTTAAACCTATTAAACTCACTGAACAAGCAGGAATCTATTAGCACCTTTTTCTTTTTAACTGGGTTATTTTTTTGCCAGAGTAGCAAACTGAACCAACTTTGTGCTCAGGTAAGCATCAGAACCAAATGGAGGGAAGTAAAAGCTGCTGCCTTCACTGGTTAGGAGATGACCTGCTACATTAGAGGTAAAGGATAACATTCTTCTACACCACTAAAACTATCCTACAATTTAAATCTGTGTCTTCTGATACACATTTCAACAGACCTATTTTTCTGTTCAGTCTGGGTTTGAAGTTTCAATAGATTTGATTTGGTGGATAGTAGTGGGATTTCTCTTAAGGAAATTACTCAATTTAGCCTAAAATAATCTAAACTGAGAGTTACTGTCCGTGCACCCCCTCCCTTGTGTTAGGGCTGACACTTGTGTGATCCAGAACAGGCCAGTTCCTTGAGCTAAACTAGCAAAAAAAGAAAAAAAAATAAAATAGGATTTTAATATTTTACTTTTTGCTGCTTCAGTTCTGCTCAGCTCACTAAGGGTCTGGGGAAAGCCAGTCACTGGCAGGGTGGAACTGAGACACCTCCTTAGGGAAGGCGAAAAGTTTAGCAGTGACACTCAACAGGAGAATTAGTTGGTAAGTAGACAAAAAGTTGGAGGAGGTTTTGATAGCATTGCTCTTTTCTTGTTATAGAAACATACCTAACCAGCTGGTAGGTGCACAGGATTACAGAACAATTGCTATAACCTGCTTGGAGTATTTCAAAAACATTCCCGATATTCTCAAGTGCAAGTCTGCAGCTAAAGTGAAGTGAGTAGAGATCTAAAATGAAGTTTCAACATTCCCTTCATGAGAATGTTTTTGAAAAGTAGTTCTAGAAATCAATGCTACAGATACTACAAGAAGGAGAAGCTCTTATTAGCAAGTGGGAGAAAGCGGAAACCAAAGAAACATGCTGGAAACTTGGGCCTGAAAGGAAAAAAAAAATAATTCAACACTGTTAGAGCTATCAGGTTATCAGATACTCAAAGAAGGTGCTATCAGCTGTCTCTGGAGGAAATAGAAAGCTGCTGAAGATGGAGCTACTCAATTTGAAGGTTGGTCACTTGATTAAAAAAATTCTCAGTTTTCCTAAGTGTTTAGGACCACTTTGTAACAATTTTCAAAAGCACAGGTAGAAAACTCAGCGATGGACGTTATGCTACCTTTCTCTGACCTAATTAAGAGATGGAACTGGAAGACTGGGCAGGACTGCGAGGCTCCATTCAATTAGAGCCTTTTGTGATGAAAACTCAAGAACCAAGTACACCAAGTGTGCTTTTGAGATATTATAGTTCTATAGTCCAAGTAAAGGAAGCTACCAAATTTTTAAGACTGGCAGCTGGGGATACAGCTGATGTAGTGATGAAGGGTTTGATTACATGGAGCACTTTACCATCTCCCATTAGGAAAGGAAGGAGATTATTGGCAGATTCTCAGCTACAGGCCAGCTATCTCAAGATGGTTAGCACTGGAAAAAGGATGCAGCTGTGGTGCAAGTCTGAACTAGCACTTCTATGAAAACACTGAAGGAATGTAAAAGGCACTGTAAAAATAATTAAAAAAAAAAGCTTCTGACTCCTTATAGGACTCATGCAATTAGTAGGAACTGACAATTTTCAGTAATGAGAAACACTATCTAAGTAACATTACTGACCTTGGTGGGATGATCTACATAATGAGAATATTATGATATCTAATTACATTCTGTTCAGAAGGAAAAAAGCAAAGAGGCGGGAAACTTACACATGACATTCAGCTCAATGTTAATGATAACACATATCTACAAACTTAAATTTAAACCTCAAGCATTGCCTAACAAAGTTCAGAAAATAATATTACACTGAATCCAAATTAAATAGAATTCTAGCTTGCTTAAATGACATTTTAAAGCCGATTCAGTAGGTATGAGTAATTTAATACCTAGAAAGAAATACACCAATAGCCCCGTTTTAAAACCACATTTAAACTAGTCTCATATGAATACAGGTTAAGTGTTCACAAGTTCTCCTCACCGTCGGTGCATTCTTAGTTCGGGTAATCTATGCAGATTTAAAAGCGCAAATAAAGTCAAGCAAGAACATTCCCTTAACTGGAGTGCTTGTTTTGCTATTTTTCAGCGAAATAGAGACTCCCGAGTGCTAAATTTGGCTAGGGGGTAAACAAAAAAAAAATAAAAAATCAGAAACTATTCAGAGAAACTGAACGAGGAAACTGGCGAACCAGCCGCGGATGCCGGGCTAAGCAAAGCCCGCGGCCCTCTGAAGACGCCCGGCTGTTCCCAGCCCGGGCGGGCACGGCCGCCACCCTCACCCGGCTCCGCCCGCCGCAGCCCGGGGGTGCCGGGGAGCGCCAGGCGCCCCGGGCGGCGGCAGCTCGGGAAGCCGGGGCCGAGGCTCAGGCAGCCGCCGGAGCAGCGGGGCAGGGCCGAGCCCGGAGCGCCGCAGAGCGAGGCGGCCCGCCCCCCCCCCCCGGCTTTCCCGCCCCTCCTCAGCGCTCCCCGGCCGCTCCGGCCTTCCCTGCCGGCCCCGCCGCCTGCACCGTCTACCCCGGGGCCGAGCCAGCCTTCACCCGAGGCTCCCCTGGGGAGGCCCAAGCGCGGCGGGGGCCCTGCCCGCCTGAGGGAGGGCGCGCGCGGCGCGGGAACCTGAGGTGAAAGCCCGCTCCCTCCCTCACCCGCTACCTACCGCAGGGGCCCGGGCCTCCCTGCGCCGCCGCCCTCGCACTGACCCGCCGCCCCGCGCAGGGTCCCGGCACATCCCCCGCGCCGCCCGCCCGGCTACGCGGAGCCAGCGCGCAGCCGAGGGAGCAACCGGGCTCTTCCCATCCCCAGGAAACCGACCGCTTTCCGAGCCTGGTTATTGGGCAGCGGGGACGCACGTCCTGCCGCGCCCCGCTACCACTGGGTAGCGGCGGCGTCAATCAACTTAATCCCCCGCCCCCCAGCTACTCGGTCGTGGCGACGCCCATCAAGGTCGGGCCACGCCCTTCACGGCCGGCGGCCCTTCAGCCCTGTGCTCCACTCCCTCCCTCCTCGTTGCCGCCAATTCGTGCAGGAGGCTGTCTGTTCACAGCGGCCCCGCCTCCGTCCCAGGGAGCTGTCCGTCAAGCAGCAAACCCCCCCCCCTTCCCTCCATCCCCGCTCTCGTTGGTCAGCGCCGCCGCCACTCACGCTCTCGGCCCTACCCTCGCAGGCGGCGGGGGCGCTGATGGCTGGGTTTGCGGTTGGCCCCGCCCCGCGGCTCGGTGGCGCGCGCCTTCCCGGGTGGCGCGCTGTTGCTGCCGCTGCCGCCGCCGCTCGGGCGCGTGCCTCCTCCTCCTCCTCCCCCCCTCCCCTTTCCCTCCCCTCTCCTTCCCCCCCCTCCCCCCCCCCCCCCCCCCCAGCTGTTGCCTCGCGCGTGCTCGCCGCCTCCTCGCCGTCTCGCGCTCCCCTCGCCGCCGTTGTGTGCGGCGCGCGCTGGTCCGTTCCGCCGCCTGGCCGCGGCATCGGGCGACCGGTAAGGTCGGGACCCGCCGCAGTCACCGGGGGGGGGGGGGGGGGGGGGAGGAGGAGGAGACGGGGGGGCGCCGCGGAGGCATCCCCGCCGCGGCGGGAGCGGAGGGAGAAGCGGGGAGCCAAGTTCCCGGCGCGGCTGGGGAAGGGGCCGAGCGGCTGGGCGGGAGCGGGGCTGCCCGCTCGGTGCGGGGGGCGGCGGGGCGGTACGCGCATCTCTGGCGGGGCGCGGCGGAGCCGTCCGTCCGTCCGTCCGTCCGCCCGCCGCGGCTTCCCCTGGCCGGGCGGCGAGAGCGGGTCTGCCGCCGCGCCGGGGGCGTCCCGCCCGCCCGGAGCGGGGCAGCCCGGCCGGGGGGAGGGCGGGCAGGCCCGCGGCCTCCGCGGAGCCGAGGTCCCCCTCAGGCGGGGGGCAGCGCGGGTGTCCGCACCGGGGCGGCGGCGGAGCGGGCCCTGCCCGCCGCGCCGTGTAACCGCATCAGGTGCGGGCGGCTCCGGGCGCGGGGCTCGCTGTGGGCGGGCGGCGATGCGCGCAGGGCTTGAGCGGCTGCCCGCCGCCCTGCGCGGTATTGCTGCTTGCTAAGTCTGACTTCTGCTACAACGCGCCTTTTCCTTGGTAAGTTGCTTTAATCCATCCGGAGCCGCTTTAACGCCTGTGTGTCAGGTGGTGGAACTTTTTTTTCCCCCCTTTCATTTGAAGGTCCTAAATTTCAGCATCTTTACCTTCATCTCTGATCTCATCTTTTTCTGTACTCTTGTATTCTACACTCCTTCCTCTTCCATTGGTGCTTTCTTTCTATTCCTTACTCCTTTCCTTCCTTTTCCGCCTAACCCAGTGACAACCTGTCCACAGCTTATGTGTTGTCCTTGGTTTCCAATTGGGGAATCTCAATGTTAGGCTGCTTCCCGTGAGTTAAAATTTCTTCTGTCGTATTAATTTCGCTGATAAACTCTTTATTTGCTGTCTTTTCCATCAGAAACAAAGGAGAGCGCAGTGGGGGAAGATGATTATGCAGTAGTGGAACTATCCAGGTGTCAGCTTCTTGTGTTTTTCATACATACTCCCTGGGTGCATGTAGCTCAGGTGTATCAGATTCAGTGACAGTTTTAGTTCATATTCTCCAGCTCTATGCTTGTTATTTTGTCATTATTGCTTTTATATATTATCGGTCACTTGAAAAGTAATGCTGCTGAGTCTTGTGTTTTGTTCCAGATTTGCCAGTGTCTTATCCATCTGTCATATAATTAACTGGAAAAAGTAATTAATTGGAAAACCTGACTTGTTGAAAGTACTTTAATTAACATTCTGAAATTCTTTGTGATGAAACATTCCTACAGAAAATACAGCTGGTTTTACAATTTTGATACATGAGTTCTTTAATAGGAGTGAGACTAAATACAGTGTGTCATCAGTAATTTGCCTGCTTATATCTTCCTGCTGATGCTGTTAAACAGATGGTGGTATCTGTTTTATCAGGGAGAAGTGCATCACTTGAAATAACCTGTTAATCTTAGTAAGTGAATCCTAGTATCTTTAGCTGCACTTAGAGTGGTCACTAAGAGGTAGAAGGATGTATTTCTGTTATATACATTAGTGCTTGGCATGAGACATTTTTGTTTTCCTGGAGTTAGAGGCTAAAAGTGTTCTGTGAATAAATCTCTGTTATAAATAGTTGTATGCATTTGGCCATTCACATAGCTCTGAAGGTTTTGGTGGTCATTTTTGATTTGTCTCTTCATTTATGACTCTCTGGAAAGGATAATCATTTTCTCAGAAGTCTTATTTTTGTTTCAGTAATGTGTTTATGAATTGATGTATATATGCACACCATACTTCTGTCAGTTTTGACTTATTTTCTTCCCCAGAGCTCGCTTTACTTTACAATATTCACAAACAATTTTCCTTTATGTAAGTGAAGGTTGAGAGCGATACTTGGAACTGGTATGTTTAAGATCCTGATACCCATTTGAAGTGGAATGTTTGTGCAGTTGAATTTTCTGTTGCTATGTTTTGCTGCCAATGTATGTTTTTATTCTGGATATAAATATTATAAAGGATAAAACATGAGCCTGAGTCATCTGAAAAAGAATTTGGAAACCTAGTTAGTTTAACTCAACACTTGTAGTAGAATTTTTTTCCTCTTGTGTTGTGTGGTATGCGACATACAAATAAATTGTCAGTAATTGTTGGGAACTCCACGGAGCATTTCAAGTATTCCGGTAGTACTGGATTGCTCCCAAAGCAGAGTTGGCTCAGCTCAGCAGTTTGGTCCCAGCTATATCCATAGCTGCCGAATATTGGTGTGAGTTTTGGGAGAACTCATAATCCTGTAGGCTTTGAAACAGGAAACAGAGTATTGATGTTGTGTTGGAAGGGAGGTGTAGGTGCATTAAAAAGATTTCCAGTGAACTTTGTTTGAAGCAGTTAACCAGGCAGTGAAGGGTGGAGCAGCTCTTGGAGTTGAACAATGCTGTTCCTGTCACAGCTGGCAGGGGTCACTGGAAAGCAGTGGACATTATGTCTTTCCCAGTTCTCCAAAGTTACATACACTGTCTTCTCAGGCTTTTTCTAAATATTGTATTGAAGATTTCTCGGCTTCAGTATCTTCTACTTGTTCATAGTAGAAATTTTGATAAAGAAATAAAAACTTAATTTTTTTTCCTTTTTTCAGGATCCCTGTGAGTGAGAGTGATGACAGTCACAGGTTTGGTGTTTTTTTTTGTCTGCGAGGAAGCTCTTTTCATAAGAAACAGCATGGTCTATGGATTAATCACTGAACAGTTTATGACAATTTTTAGCTAGGCTTACTAAGGGCACAGAGCCTGTACAATTAATTTATTTGTCTGTCTTCTCCCATTTGAGTAACTTCTTTAGTCAGATGATGAAACCAAATTTAATGGCAACTGAAAGACATTAAGTACCTACACAGTGACAAATTTTTATAAAACTTTTGACAAGTAGTGACCCAAATTAATATTTCCACCCAAAGGAAGGCAGTTATAATTGAGTCTCTTCTTTCTTCAGAAAGAGAGCAACTGCTGTCCAGTCTACATGCTAAGCTCTGAGCCAAGGTGGTGTGTGCTGCTACTGGCCCAGCCAAATAGTTGGGACAGCTGGTAATATGGGTGGAGGGAAAGAGAAAAGTGTTAGGTGAGGTGGAGAAGGACAGTAGGGAGCCATGGGGCACTGTTAAAAGCAGACAGATTTAATTGCTTCTGCCCAAGGAACAAGGTAGGCCTGTTTTTTCTGTAATGTTTTTTTGTTTTAAGAAGGAAACAAAACTCTTACCTATGTCAGAGGTATTGATCCTTCTGACTGCTGAAAGCTTTAAATATCATGTTTTCTCCTTTGAGTTTACTGTGCTGTTATTCATACAGGTCCTTCTTGCTGGGTACAGAGGAAACGGTTAAGTACTTGAAGAAATTATATTCAAGTTTATAAAGAGAATACAAAGAGCTTAATAAATTGCCTATAGGGGAAAAAGAGTTAGGGCTATAATGTATAACTGTGTAATGTTTGGGTATGTTCTACATGTAATTAAAGAATAATTTATGTTCAGAGGGGTCACTGGAAGTCATTTGTCTGGTCCAACCTCATCTCAAAGCAAGGACAGGTTCAAATTTAGAGTAAACATGTATACATGCATTAGAGATACCCATTATGTTGTCAAAAAATTTGGAAATACAGCTTAAGTTTGTGGTTTGGTTGGTTGGTTTTTTGTTTTTTTTTTTTTTTTTTTTTTCCCCAGTTAAGGGGATGATATCAGAAAGTTCATAGAACTATTCCATTGTTTCCTAATTTACATGTGTAAAGGGGATTTTTTCCAAATTCACTTCTGCTGGGAATAGTCTTTAACTGAGACATGTAGTGTTTAGTATTTAATTCTTTGTTCATTTAAGGTGGTCTTGGTAAATGTACTCCAGAGAGACTAGATGGCTTCCTGGAATGAGTCCAAGCATTGTATTGAAGTCCTATTTGTAAATACATGTGTGGTTCTTAAAAAATAAAACACAATTGCAAAGCGAGAGAAGAAATTAAAGCAATATAGCATCAAATACGAAGTCATGCAAGCCTTGCATTTTGGAAGTTGGCCAGCACCAGATGCTTTTGGGGTTAGGTGGTTGGCAGATGCCAGCCTGGCAGCTAAACACTTTGCGTTCAGCTGTCTTAAGGGACAGTTTGTTCTATGCTTGCCATGTTGCTCATACGCTTTCCTTGGTTTTATCTACTGGCCACTGTGGGGTCAGGTTAGGTAGAGTATTTGTGTGGCCAAATACAGCCTGGTGATCTCTTTATACACTTTCTTGCATCCTGGATCATGAAGCTTGAGATTCCCTCAGCTGTGTGTTTGTTTATTTTTTTTTTTTCTAATTATTGTTATTGTGTGTTTAAATAACTGCT